CTTACACCCCATTTCCATAGATTTTTAGATCGATCTATCCCTGTGGGGAGTCTCACTAGATTACTGTCAGCTTGGCCGGCTTAAGCGTCTGTCCAGCCTACTAAAAGCTGTAAGGGGGTAATTAACTATGCATGGTGTACGCTCGGCTGACTGCAATTTAGCGTGAACCCCCAGGGAGTTAGGTCGATCTAAAACTTAATCTTTAGATCGATCTAAATCTCTGGGAAAGCACCCTTACATGTTTTTAGATTTGCTCTATTATAAACATTACAACAAAATTTCTTTTAGCAGAAGGAGAATATTTTGAGTAAAGATTAGCAATCGTCCTTCACCATGAGTACGAGGAAGGCAATCAAAGGTAAGGCTACAGATGTTAACCTTAAATGTGAGTGTCAAAATAGGTACATCTGCCGAATACAAATGTAATTACACAAACTGTGCGTCTGGTGATCAACAAGAATAAAACATGTTGTTCTGTTTAGAAGTTTTTAAAATACATATCTGAGGCGTACCTATTTTAGAACCGTACATGTTTTGGCAAAAGGTTCATCGTGCATTTGTACCTACTGAAATATCCACCACAAACATCTCGGCGTAAACAAATACTGGAATAATTATCTATCAGTGAATATAATAGGTCATTTCTTTAACCCTTTGAATTAACAGCGCTCTTTTCTGAAATATTTTGAATCATACATTAACAAGAATTACGGAGATTCTGTGGCACTATCATCAACAAAATATGTCCGTTTTTTTTTTAAATTCCTCGTTGAAATAAACTTTCACGTCGTCCTTGCAGGTTTAGAAGAGAGGCTGAAAGACGGAGAGAGCATTATCGTGGCAGAGGGGTATTTGTTTGAGTTCGAGCGAAGGGGTTATTTGCAAGCCGGAGCGTTTGTTCCAGAAATTGTTCTTGAGCATCCGCAGATCGTGAGACAACTCTATGAAGAGTTTGTTCACGCCGGAAGTGACATTGTGCTAGCCTTCACGGCAAGTAAATTATCAATACTTAGTGGCTTGTACTTTCCAATTTCTTTCATTTTTAACTAGCTTTTTGCAGACTACCAGTTAATAGGACTTTCCATGCGTTTGAAAAAAACCCCATATGTGTCTTGAAGTGCTTTTACCATTCCTAATTCAGATCCTTAAGTCTATTCAATCCTTTAAATGAAAGTTTTTTACGATCCTGTGTAGGAGAAAATTGCCCTTTGCCTTGAACAATTGATTTTAAAGGGTAAATCTCGAGAAGAGCACCTTTGAAGCATAAAACTATCATTTATTTTGAAATTTATTATTCCATTTGTTTTTAAATGAATTAGACGAATTGAATCAAACCGATTCCTTATAGGTGTAGTCGATTTGGAGTACACTGTTGGTTTAAACGACATCTTTTTACAGTACTATGCTCATCGCCAGAAACTAAAACTGATCGGCAGAGAGGACGACTTAGAGAAGCTGAACCGAAAAGCTCTGAAAATGGCGCGAGAGGTGGCAGACGAGACGGGAACACTTATGGCGGCAAGTCTGTCCAAAACAATGGCATTTATCGCCAGGGACAGTGAAGCCATTGCAGAAACCAAAAAGATGTTCAGGGTATGATGTCACTTGATGAAACACCGTGGGATCAATTCATTTATATCGTTTCAAAGTACTAGTACTTGTGTCATGCCGTCAGGTGCTCCTTTTTGGAACAACATTTGTATGTCAAAGTTTTTGCAGACATTAACATTTGCAATAATCATTCGCAATCAGTGATGAAATATCTGTACAGATGAAAAGTTCTTTTCCCCAGTATTTTCAACACCTTGACCAAGAAACTTCATATGTACGTTAAATGTCATAGAACAGTGTAGTCCATCATGGTCGCCCCTTACGTCGTGTTAGTCGTCATTTTATGAAAGAAAGTGAATCTATCAAGAAACATTTAAGTGCATATATAGATTGAAAAACGCGCGAGAATACACAACAACAGGTTCTTATTTTGACAGGAGCAGGTTCAGTGGGCGTATGAAGAAGGCGTAGACTTCATGGTTGGGGAGACCCTGTCCGACCTAGAGGAGGCCATGTATGCTTTAGAAGCCATCAAGGAGTTTGGTAAGCTAATATTATTGTGCTTGGCTTTGCTCCGAACGCAATTACCTGACTGTCCCGACATCTTCTGCAGAATTGATTACCCTGGGAAACACAAAACGTTATTATAACGTGACCGTAACGTTTTTAGGTTATATTAACGTTATGGCAATGTTGTGTGTTTGCTGGAATTGTTGAATTGTTAATTATATCTTTTCTGAGTATTCTACTTATATATATATATACCGGTATATTGTGATGAAGAAATATATATATATAAATAGGTAATAAAATGAATACATAAAGCATTTGTGATTTTCTAAAGTCGAAACTGATGGTACCTTCTTCTCTATCCTGAGTAGAAATAACTAAGATCTTAGTTATCACTGTTGGGTAAATTGCGATTAGACACTATTCATTTATAAAATTATGAATTTACAAAAGACATGTGCAAAGCATGTAGCAGCCTGATTTTCATAGACCCCTGGCAACCGAAATCTCTACTAAAACAGTACATAAAAATCATTGTATCAGCGGCATGCTGATATTAGAAAAATGAGTTTCTTATGACCTCTGAAACTCGGGAGCATAAAGCAAAGGTCTGCCGTACCTCTTATGCTATAAATGAATAAACCTAGGTCTCCCCGCGGTAATAACACTGTCTTCTCTCGGTGACACTACACGGGACAATCACCCGTACACGGAGGCATTAAAGAAACTGGAGGACGCTGGGGCGGACGCTGTGGGTCTTAACTGTATACGTGGACCTGCCACTATGTTACCGTTAATGAAGGAAATTAGGGACGTCTGTAAGGTAGGTGTGGATGCAGAAGTTACATAGACTGTGACTAGTTAAATGTAGTTTAAGAGCAACACAATTACTGACTAACTGTACTCGTATTTTCATCAGATCAGATATAATGATGACAGTCATTACATAAATGACTGTTGATTTTTTTTCATGAACAAAATGAATGAGCAATTAAATAAATCAAATAAGTTTTTTATAATATTGCATATTTTCAACTTTCATGATAATATTGATTTAAAAATCCACCGACTACAATGACCTCTTGTTTTTCTGGATATTATTATTATTATTATTATTATTATTATTATTACACTAGGGCCCACTGTGTGCATTGCCCGTAGTCTACCGGACATCGCCGGACTTGCCGTCCATGCAGTCGTTAACAGGGGTCGGACCAGGTGAGAGAGTGAGAAAGAGAAAAGGAAATCTGGGTCGGTTTCACAAATTGCTTTTTTGACGTAAAATTGGTCTAAGCTCTAAAATTGAAATTTTGGGTTTACTTCAGATTAAGACTTACGTTACGTTGAATTTGTAGCAGTCCACTCAAAAGAAATAGGCTTACTTTTTTTGTAAAACATATCTCATTTTGGTTTATAAAACATGAACTATTGTTTTATAATATTTGATTTGTCATGTGAAAATGAACCAGAGACCGTCTATCGCAGTTGTTTTCATTTAGAGTCTCCTACTTACATCTGCAGTTTTGGTTGACTAATTCAATTTTTAAACTAATTAAATAAACTAAAATGAAATCAAAATAATAGTAATCAGTCAATGGGGTAAAGAGTGAGGATTTGCGTTTAGGCTTACTCATCACAATACTTGTCAAATAAAAAAAAACTTTAAAAAATCATTAAAAATACTTCAAATTTTTAGGTGGTAGCAACATCAGATACTTCGACCTTCCCGCGTGGCAGTGCAGTCGCACAGAGATCCAAGAGTTCGCCAGAGAGGCCCGTGCCATTGGGATTCAGTACGTGGGCCTCTGCTGCGGTAACGCCTCGCACTACATCCGCGAGGTGGCAGAAACCCTAGGACGCTCTCCCCCTGCCAGCCGCTACTCGCCGGACATGGGGGCGCGTCACGACCCCACCCTCCTTGCTAACCAGGCCGAGACATCGCTTCGGAAGACGTGAAAATAGTGGTGGTGAATTGTATGTGGTGAAATTCACACCTGCCCTAACTTAATCTTCAAGAAAATCTGACTGACGTCAACAGGCAAGCTGATCATGAAGGGGTCATACTTGTGATGAAAATCTTGCGTGATGAAAATCTTTGTGTAGTGTTCATGTACACATTTTCCTGTTAACGTTCTTCCTTTGGTACTTGCATTAGAAAACACATTTACATATAAAATATACAATAATAAACGATTTGGGTGAATGAATGAAAAAGCAATAACTCATTGTAATTGTGCTTCAATTTTTATTTTATTTTTTGTTGTTACAATGCCAGACAGAGTAAGTCAACAAGTCTGCCTTCTCCAAAAAACAAAATAATAATAATAAACTTGTCACATGGCACCATATTATCTCAAGTAAAATATAGAAAATCATCTCCAGGTTCAATCTCATCATGTTTCATCATTATACAGTTTGAGTATATTGCTACTTTATTCCTACTGATATAACAAGTGTTATGTGCAAAAACTTAACATTTATACACAAGTTTTTTTCCATGCTATACAAAAAACGGACAAAAAAACAACAACAACAAAAAAAAAACTAACTAACTAAAACTGATGATTAAAACAGTAACTAGTAGTAAAAGACTAGTATATCAGTGGACATACATATCAGGCCCGTAGCCAGGGGGGGTTCGNCATTTATACACAAGTTTTTTTCCATGCTATACAAAAAACGGACAAAAAAACAACAACAACAAAAAAAAAACTAACTAACTAAAACTGATGATTAAAACAGTAACTAGTAGTAAAAGACTAGTATATCAGTGGACATACATATCAGGCCCGTAGCCAGGGGGGGTTCGGGGGGTTTGAAAGAACCGCCCCTTTTGCTGGGAAAAGGTCCACTCTGGGTAAAATTTGATCTAGGTACATGAAGTTTTTATGGGAAAAGGTCCACTTTTTCAGAAAAAGAACCCCCCTTTTGAAATTGCTGGCTACGGACCTGCATATCTATTCTACATCCATATACCCATCTCTTTATCCATCTACATGTTCATATATACTACCAATCTCTTAATTACATTTTACAAACTACTAGTAGTGGCCAAACATCTTTCTTGCACAGAATACACGTGTTATATTGGGTAATTATAACACTACCCACATCTGGGATACTGAAGCCCTAACTGTATATAAATACACACGTAAATTTTCATAAAATGGCATTGCTTCCTGCTTCTTTTATTTATAAGTATTGTATTGCAAAGATGTGCTGTACTGACTGAACACGTTGGGTGATCTACAGGCTATTTCAAAAACATGCAAACATACATATAAAAAAATGCTTGTTATGATATGCCTTGCCCACATACAGTAATAATTTTAGTCAATAAAATCCAATGATATGAATAAGCTCCCTTTGCTTCCCTCCCCCTCCAAAAAGAAAAAAAAATCATCAGTAATACTTGAAAATGTTGACTCAATTTTTTGAGCAGTTATTTGGCTGTGTCAGGAAGTACATATTTGTAAGTGCCTAAATGAGAAAGTAAAACATCAGCAAAAGTGAGACATTTTGAATGTGGAAGACGTCTCCCTCATATCTTAAAGAGACCCATTTTTACACTAGAATCCAACAATAATCAAAAGAAACCAACTGGTGCACTATATTTCCATAACTCCTGAAGACATATTTTTGTAATATCTCAAAGAAACCCATTTTCACAGTGGATAATACCCCAAAAAGAAAAAAAAAACCTACTAGAATAATTTCACAAAAGATCAAGTCAGATTTCTATAATATCTATCAGGACTGCCCGTCTGCCTGAGCATGCTGCAGCAGCAAGTCATTCACATTCAGATGGGCCAAGCCCTGCGTGACTTTACTCGTTCTTCTCTCCCTCGGCACAGGCGCCCCAGGCTCCAGCAGGGACTCCGAGTGTCCTGGTACAATTAAAACAGAGTTCGCTCTCCTCTTTGTCGCTGCAAGGATGTCTGGAGGCTGCAAACTATGTCTGCGCTGTTCGTGTGAACTATGGCGGTTATGTGGATGACTTGCACCACCACCACTAGGGGGCAGTGCTAAATGGGACTGGTCTTTAAGATGGTGGTGGTGGTGATGGTGATGGTGGTGGTGGTGAACTTCCGTAGAAGGTTCAGGAGGAACAAAATTATCAACATTGTCATTTAGCAAAATTGAACTGGTTGGCAGCACCGCATCTGGCTGCTCGGTTTCTGAGCTTCCGTCTCCCATTGAGGCTCTGGTCTCCGATGGTATCATCTCGGAATGCACGCCCTCTACAGCCCCCTGTTGAAGAGTATGGTCCAAGTTTGCATCTATTTCTTCCTGGTCAGTGGAAAATGTCACATTTTTGTCCGAATCCTTGGAAAAACTTCTAGGTTTCAACTCCAGTGAGTCTTCTAAGCCGTTATCTCGGGAATCCACAGATTCTATATCGTCATCGTCACTCAACCCACCAGCATAGCTGCCTTTTTCTAATTTGTCTGAAAATATATATAAATTTTGTGTTATTGAATTCTGAAAGATTGCAATAAACAAGCAAACACAAATGTATATATGTTTTTAAACCTGTTTTAATTATTACTATTTTTTAAGTTTTTCCATTACTCAAAAACCAGCTTTAAAAAATCATAAAATAATTCTTACACCATGATAAATCTCACTTTACATTGTATATGGTACAGCTCTCTAAGATATTCTTTCTTACTTTTAATTCCTTTTCCAAACACGTAAACTTAAATAATACAGTACACCAACACCACATCCACTTGTACCGTATATGTGTCATTACCTAAGTTAACTTCCGGCAAGCTAGACTCACTGCTAACACTTTCAGCCCCCACTCCAGGCTCACGTGGCGGAAGCTTGAACTGCCCAACGCGTGACTTCCGCCGCAGGTGCACTTCCTCCGATATTCTCTCCAAATTCTTGAGAGCTGCGGAATATTTGTGTTTAGAAGCACTAATGGCTCTCTGGAGGTCCTCCACGTCAATTTTCTGTTGCTGTAAATAGATGATTTGTTGGTGATAATTTTGTTTAGCGGCTAATTTTGATGGTCAGTTTTGTCCTGGTGGGTGTAAATCTGTGGTCAAATGAGACAATTTCAGGATTATTCTTAATTAGACAAGAAAGTGTGTGTGTGTGTGTGTGTGTGTGTGTGTGTGTGTGTGTAACATGTGAGTAATGACGTGAATCTGTTGTCTTTGTTAACCACTGTCATGGAAAAACAATAAAAGGGATCTTAAACATCATTACTTAATTACGTACTCATACAAATGCTAATTTTAAAGGTAAATCATCCATTAACATACACATGCATACATGTATGCAAAGGCACATAATCCCATTTCAATTGTACATAGCATGTCACTCCCTGATATACGACATAGTGATGATATATTTATTATTTATCAATTATAATTATTAAATTATCTAAGGACACCTACCTCAAGCTGTTTTTCTAAATCCAATTTTACAGCATAATATGGTCTAAAAATAAAATAAAATAAATAAATACAATGTATTTACTTTTTATTAAGATTAGACAAATTTTAAAACATAAGAAACCTAATATAGAATTCAAAAACTAACAAACATACTGTATAGGGGAAAAGGGATTTAAATCCCAAAATAAATTCTATTCCATTTTTTATTCCATTTTCAATTTATGACTTAGTCCTAAATGACAGTTCCTTAAGAACAGCACATCTTCCTGTACATTTTAGAAGAAACTACATCCATCTATGTCTGGTGATTTTATTAGAGAAATTTTTAAGTTTTATAGGTCAAAATTGGGAAGGATAATAGCTTTGCTGGATAAGAAGACAGAAAATATAACTTTATAAAATTTTCAAATGCGTATAGTTTACCTTAATATAACACAACAAAACACAAAATAAAAGAAATAACATAGTTTATTTCACAATTATCAAAATTATCTAGGGCATATATTTACTCACTTGGAATTACTAATGGCTCTTTTAAACTTCTTCTCCAGTAGCAGCACCTTATGTTGAGCTGCCTCATAGAAGGAAGCCTTTTTGTGGTGCTCCATCTCACTCTTCCCTTTCTCCTGCTCCGACTCCATTACCTGCAGATATCATAACCAGAGATAAAAATTATAACTCTCTAAGAAAACCCCAGGTGCATGGAGCTCTGCCAAATAGAATTTATCTAAGAAATATCAAGAAGATCATAATGATACCAAGGACAAGAAATTAAAGAACACAGACCAATGAAAAAAGGCAATAATGTGGAATTTCCTGAAATTCAAATTCAGAAAATGATGACAAAAGTAAAATTCTAGGACAGCATTCCAATTCTACAAGGGTACTAGTACAGTAATTGCTCTTGGGTCAGCATCAAACATCATACCCCCTTAATTTACTCTGTGCTTACCCGCATGGTGGCATGGTTCAACATTTCTTGCCAGGCAGAGTCGAACTCCCTCTTCTCGCTGGGATCAGCATCCAGGAGTCTCTGCTCGGCCAGCTGTATGGTTTCCTTGGCTGCTTTATACAGGCTATTAGCTCGCTGGAACTCGCGAGCTGCCCGGTGGGTCTCTTCTTGGGCCTGAAATTGTCAGGAGTTTTAAATATGTATTTCCTTCTTTTTTTTTTTTATCTCAAAATGCACAAGTGAACATTGCTGATATTGATCTCTCAATTTCCTGGAGATCATCTGCTTGTCTGCATACAATTTCAGTTACTCATTTTAGTCTACAGATTAAGTCGCTTCTCACAGATAACTGTTTTCTAAGTAAATAAATAAACAAATGCACAGATAAATAAATTAAATAACACACTTTGACAATTTAGATAACCTTAGCAGATTAACTTCATTTTTCCTTTCAACACAGGTGCTGAAGCATTGTGTGTGAGAGAGAGAGAGAGAGAGAGAAAAAAAAAGTGAAAAAAGTGGGTTACCTGCTCTGCCTCTCTTCTTGCATCATAATAAGGCCGAGCCTTATCTACATTTCTCTTGTACTTCCTGTACAGCTGTGTTAAACGGTGGCCGGACTCATTTAATGTGCTTCGGAAGCGTGCTCGAGCTTCCTGTAACAAGACATAAATGCTATATGGCAAAGTTTAAAGCCACATAAAGGACACCGAGTTTTAAATGTCACTCAAATTGCTGTCTTATAAACTGATAAGAGAAGAGAATTTCTGTGACTGATGAAGTCCAGGGTGAAAACCTGAGAGAAAAAAAAAATGCAATCAATATAATTCATTAGTACAGAATATGTAATATACTGAACAATCAGTCTGAAACAACAATTGTGCCCCTGAGGCAAATGGCAAAGAAATTGTAGTCTAGTCAGTAAAACTGTGTGAAGTTGTTCAGTAACTGGCATGGTTCAGTGGATACTTTTTCACTGGTGGCTCTTAGGCCCTGCAGGCTTTATTTTTTGGCACAGACAAATAAAAGCAACCATGCCAATAATTCTGATGCACATTCCATACCTGTGACTGAATCTATTTAATAAATGTATTTATCTTATCTTGTATTTTCACACCTCATCCCCCCTGCCTGCGTTAAACCTCCCTGATAACGAAACGACTGACTGTCACATGCGGCAGCACTACGACAGAAATGCACGAATGATGCTGCATGTGACAGTCAGATGAGAGATTCAACGCATATTATAGTATACGCCTATATCTACAACTTTATCTCCAATATAATTTAGTTTGGTTTAGAATAATAATTGAAACTGCTTCATAAGTCAAATGAGCTCTACCCAGAGCTTCACATCTGATGTGTGTCACCTTTTTTTTTTATCTCTGTATCGATAACACTCTTCTCAGTGGGAATAATATCAATATGCTGACAAAATTTTTTTTTTAAAGAGAAGCTGCCCCTCCATGTCAACTCTGCAGATCATATAAGTTGTTCAAATTTCAAAACACACAAAAACTGTAAAATTTATGTGTGAAATCATGACTGATATAAGATGTTCAAAATGTTAAAATTCTGTTCAAGATATTTAAAAATTAACCAGTGACACCCTCCTGCCCATATATACATGTATGTACATGTATCCACAATATAAGGGAAATGAACAATGATAAATAATGCAGAGGTGAATAAGCTAATGCACCGAACATTGTGAATCTAACGGTACTTTAACTAACTAGAAAAGTTAAGCCAAAATTCAATTTCCTGGCCAACGATCAATATAACAAGCTGGCTATATCTACAAGCATTCCGGTTATTTCTGGTCACAGAATTCATTGCCCATTATCAAGGAAAGCTTGACTGGGGCTAACACAGTAAATTTTAGCAAAACTTAAAACATGTTTTTATACAGGTATGAGAAAGGAAAATACATTAAATTTTTTTTCATCACAAAATACTTCACCTATAATACAATTATTTATCATGAAGTGGTTGTTGAACATGATGTATTGCTTATTGTGACCTAATGTCTAAACAGACAGACGGACAGACAAAAGGAGCCATTTATACAAATTACATTTACACACACACACACGTGTTCGTGCACACGTGCAAACATGGGTCTACACAAATATACACACTTACAGATACTTGCACACTGAGACGGACACACACACACATACACTAAGATTTAAACAGGTGCAGACAAAGACCCTCACAGTTTCAATCATCCTTGACCAGAATTCCATTCCAGTTCAATATATAGTTATCAAACCATAAGGAGGAGTATTATCATGTCTATGGGCCAGGTAAAGGGGTACAGAGTACAAATTCCATGTTCACGTGAATTCCACTATGAGTCGGCCTCAGTCTACCTATGAGCACATTTAGAACAGCCAACTTACAGATCAGTGGATCAAATATGGCCTAGCCACTTGAATGCTTGTTGCATAACCCCCGCAGTGTCTACACAACAAGCTTTTTTAGTGGGTTGCCATATCTGTGAATCTGTTAGTCCACTGTTCTGGATGCTCTGATTTATTGACTTGAATGCTGTATCACATTGTGTTATGATTACATTTAATGGTCATATACTAGTACAATACTGTCACAGAAACAGGACTGATGAACATATATGAGTATGCCAGACACCATGGATATGGTTTAAATTAAATTATTCAATTTATAAATTAATTCCTTTAGGTATATATTTGCTCTATCTTTAAAATGGGTCATCTTATTAAAGAAACAACATTTTTAAAAATAAAAAAAAGTGGACAGTAAAAATATTGAAACAAAATAATATGTATTTGTATTATTTTTTCCTTCATCTCAAGCAATTCATGTGAAAGGACTTGTCATTACAGCCAACTACTAGTATTTGTAAAAAAATTAATTAAAAATTAAAAATGCACTGTCACTTACATCAAGCTCTGTTTCCAGTTTGTTTATTTCATCTGTGGCCGTATTTAACTTCTCCAACTCCTCCTAAAATAAACAAAATCAAGGGTAGAAATAAATAAAATGTTTTGGAGCACTGATTTGCATTGAAAAGAGTTGAGGTTTAGAGAGAGAGAGAGAGAGAAAGAGAGAGATGAAACCAAAAGTATCAAAAGATACTAGTATTTGTAAAGAGAGGGAAGAGGAGGGGGGGGAGGGAAAATTGCCAATTTATATCTAGCAACACCTTTCAAGTACATCTTAAAGTGTTTGGCACTGCCATACTTTAACAAACAACTTAACTCACACTTAACACACGCACACACATAAACAAATTCCCCTGGTGCTCATCCTTGCAGAGAAAATTATACACGTGCCAGCCAGCGTAATAAGGAAACTAGGATCCAGGTACTTAAGTCACACAGATAACAGGACAGACTATTAAGGTCTATTCCCACAACTTTAGATCGATCTATCACCGCGGGGAGTCTCACCAGACTACCGTCAGATAATCCCCCTTAAGTGTCCGTCCCTGCCAACCACAAGCCGTAAGGGGCAATTAACTTTCGTGTCCGCCTGGCTGACAGCTATTCAGCGCGAACCCCCAGGGAGTTAGGTCGATCCAAAGTAGGTCGATCTAATCTATGGAAATGGGGTGTTAGAGGGAAGATATGGTGACTGGCACACACTATAATATCCAGGGTACTACACTGTGTGGGTTTGTGCAAGACACTGTATGCCATGGCTGGGGTAGCGCTAGCAATTTTTTACGCTTAGCCAAATCACCACATTTTTGTCAATTTGTTATCTAAATAACTTTAATTTGACTAAAATTAGTCAAATCAAGCCCTTTTTGTTCAGCCAATTTAAGTCAGTTTTAGCATTTGGTTAAATTGGCAAGTGTTAGTGCTACCCCAGCATGAGGTGCACAAGTCCAAAAAACTTGCAATGCAGATTAGACTGTCTCTAAAAAAAAATGATCACTCTGGAGGTTATTAATACAGAAATAACCTTGATAAGAAACATAAGAAAGAATATCTTATTTATAAGAAATGTAAAATATTAATTAATTTAATAAAAAAAATAACAAAAAAAAAAAAAAAAAAGAAAT